GCAAAAGCCTGAGACGTTATCTGAAAACAAACTAAAGACTAGGCATGGCTCAAGGGTACAGCACTTGCCAGAAATCATTGAATCTGAGTTCACTCTTAGTACTACACACACACACACACACACACCACACACACAAGCTACACCAATCTATAACACAGGCATAATGATATAGAAGTCTAATACTAATGTGTTTTCTCATATAAAAATTGGGATCAGAGGATATAAAGTTTTGTGACCTATACTTCCACAATTTGCACTTCATCTTATATTGTGAGAGTTTTTTTTACATCATTATTTGGATTAATAACTTTATTGTTGCATATTATTTTAGCAAACTGATAAACCTTACTTTATTCAAAAATTCTCTCACAAAACTTTTTCTTTCCTATTATTCACTTCAGTAAGAATCTCTGAAAGCAATTTTGCCTACAAAAGAGGACCATTCGTATTTTCATCACAAATCTCTATATTACATATAGAGATCACTATATTAAAATCTCTCTATACATATATACATATACTATACCTATTAAAAAGTAACTATGCTCTCATTATTCAGGCACTACTCACCAAAAAAATTTCAACATATAAAAAGGGTTTGCAGTCCTTAAGAGTTCACAGTAATAATCCCTCATCTGTATTTTTTACCCTGAATCATGGAATTGATTACCATTCTAAAATAACACTACCCGGTACTCTCATGCTTGATCACCAGGCCATTCTATTAACTTGCTAGTTGTAAAAGTTACCAATTTTGTTTATGTGCTTAATACTAAGGCTTCAGTAAACACTAGCCTGGAGTCTAAGATAAACTGAGAATTTATCAACTTTGCAGAGTACTCACATCATCTTTATCATTCACTGGGCACTCCAAGTTGTAGCAAGAAATTCAACAATTTCTGTATGTCCGGCTGAACATGCCCAGTGCAATGCAGTTCTGCTGTCCTAACCGGAAACAGAAACACTATGATCAACATTCTGAAGAGAAATAAGGAAAAAAGCAGAAAAAAATACTGGTGCTGGCAAACCTATAATACGAGCACAGAAATGGAGAACATTGGATCTTCAGGTGGGTAACTTTAAATCATATTATTTAATAGTATAACAGAGGCACAGGTTTCAGTAACATGAGGTGTATAACATCAGTGAACCTAAGTAATTCTAGGCAGAATGCAGTCATGAAGAGCATTGATCAGCTGTTTACTATTACATTATTTCTATATTCCTATGTCAGCACTGTGCTAGGACTTTAGATGCATCACCTCATTTAACTCTTACCATCCTACACAGTGGCAAACATTCCCATTTTATAGATAAGAAACTAAGACTCCTTAGGGTAAACAATTTGGCCAGGTCACACAACTTATTTAATGTCTGTCTGACTCTGAATTGTCTACTACCACACTGACTTCAAGTTAGATGTTTCTAGAAAGAACATGTGAATCTTATGGGGGAGAAATGTTCATAAAATGAGTTCAGTTTATCTATATAACCATTTAAAGAATAAGCCACACACAGAATTATTATTGATTGCAACAAAACTACTCTTTAAAATAAGTCAGGAGTTGTCTTTCTCAAAAGAGTCCTTTTTTGTGATCGTTAGATTTCTTAGTCAGCCCTGTGTAATAGAAAGTGGGTTTTTTGTGTGTGTGGGGCACAGCTGGGGATTGAATCTAGGGCCACCTGTGTGCTAGGCAAGCACTCAGCCACTGAACTGCATTTTCACCTGGAAAGTGGCACTTTAAACTTTCTTTTCAAACTCACATAAAATAGAGGGAATGTAATAGAGATTCACATGCCTATAACTAGATTAATAATAAAATCTTACCACTTTGCTTCAGTCTATTTTTTCTTTCCTTGTTGAGGTTTTAAAAAACAAACCCAAGGTATTGATCCCTTAAGTATTTGGCACCTAAAAAGAAAAAGAGTCTTTTTAACATAACACAAGACCATTTTTTATACCTATAAAATTA